AAAAAAGATCCATTCATTCATTTGAACGTCGTCAAAACTAACGATCCAAAAACAATGAAGCCTCAAGATATCATCGCCGGGAAGACCAGCCTGTGGATTTTCGGGTACGGGTCGCTGGTGTGGAAGCCTGACTTCAAATATCAGAGGAGCAAGGTCGGTTACATTCAAGGCTACAAGAGACGCTTCTGGCACGGAGACAACTTCCATCGTGGGAACGATGAGTTGGTAAGATGGGGCATATGTTTACTTGTTAACGGGAACATCATTAGATTGCTTAGGGTGGCATGATATGTTGAACAGCTGGGCTCACACTGCATCAGGCGTTGTCCGTGACGTGATTCATTTATTTTTTTCTTCTTCTCTGCAGCCCGGAAGAGTGGTGACGCTGATCGAAGATGATGACGTAAGTGGAACTTTCTGCTTCCTATTGGTTTACAGTAGAAAGTGCAGTGGAGTTTCCAGTCTACATCAGTTAATTGAATGATGACTTAATATGTTTTCATCTTCCTCCACAGGAGACTACTTGGGGTGTGGCGTTTGAGGTGGCAGGCTCACAGCTGGAGGAGTCCCTGAAGTACCTCAATGTGCGAGAGACGGTCTGCGGAGGCTACATGACCAAAATGGTGGATTTCTTCCCTGAGGGGAAGGACCAGCCTCCGGTTCAGGCGCTGGTTTACATTGCCACCTCCGACAACCCTCTCTACCTGGGCCCGGCCACCTCGGAGGAGATCGGTGCCCAGATCGCAATGTCCAGAGGGAAGACGGGCCACAACTTGGAGTACCTGCTCCGGCTTGCGGAGTTCATGAGGAGCAGTTGCCCACACGTGGAGGACAATCACCTGTTCTCCATCGAGGCCACAGCATTGACCATGGTGTCTTACCTGTTAGCAGCACAGTAGCTCGTACCCTTTGTTTCACTAGCATGTAATGGAAAGAATACACTACACATGAGGCTTTGATCTGCCATGTTCTACCTGTGTTTTACATTCTGTAGCTTCACATCCTCATCACCATCCATTGTACTTGAAAAAGTGGGGGAAAAAAGAAGGGTAGCTTAATACAATCCCTACAATGTTCACTGTAAACACTGTTCTTCACTAACTGTTTTGATTTGTACGGTGCAACTTCCGTCCAATTCAGAAGGTACTGCTGTCGCTCGTGGTTGAGTGCGTTGATGTGTCAAAGAATAAATCTGACTCTGAAAAGTTGCTTGTGACAACTGAGTGTCAAGTAAAATAAATACCAATTTAAAAAAGTGGAAAATGACTGTTTTTGTGTTATTGCTGCAACAGAAACTGTTTGTTTAAATGAGCTGTGGCTCATTTAAAAGAAAAAGGCTCTGTTCTTGGTCAGGAAAATCTGGATGTATCAAAAGTGGCAGTTTAATGAGTGCACAGCAAAGAGATGTATTCTAGAGAACTGATTTAACCAGAAATCCTAAAATAAAGTGCACTAAAGGAGAAAATGTTTCTGTACTGCATTTTCCCAAGGAGTATTTTGTTTTTTTTCTTTTCCCCTCCTGTTTAAAAACACTAAGCACTCAATGTGAAGATTGCAATTGAACCAGCTGACAGAACTTTTTCACACCAGCTAATAACCTGTGGTGAGGGAGGCTTTCAAGGTGTTTGTGTGCATGTCATAAGAACACAGACCATGAGGGTCTTCTCTTGCCAAGAAGCAGCTTTTCTGACATGCTCTTGGAATAAAAACAAAAAACAGACGTGCTGGTTCACATCTGGTTTGCAGACTGTAACTCAACAGCAATGTTCTAAGAAGTCAGTAAAGCTTTTTGAACAGGTCTCCTGAGTGCACATATACAAACATACGTCAGACACACCCAAACATTGGCCGGAGCAGCTTGTACCCTGGATGTGATTCAAGTCCAAGAGTCTATCTAGGTGAAAAGGCTTATATAACTGCTGACCGGGAACAAGCCCAGACCTGGAAGTCCTGTGTTTACAAGTCTGCCCCGTGGTCGTGTCAAGAGTGCACCAGGAAGAACACACTGCAGATGCGTTCACTGAGATGAAATCTCAGCAGGGTGACATGAAAACGGCGACATGGGTCTCAGGTGCATCTTTGTCAGTTTGATCGCCTCTCAAATGGGTTGTTTTTCTGTCATTTCCTTACATCAAGGTTAAGTTCTTCCAAATGATTTTTCATAAACAGACCTTACAGATAGTTTCTATTTTAAGTGCCAGAGGTTTTGAATATCTTATCTCTGAGATATACGTTTCCCTCCCAGTGCAACGAAGCTCAAAGCTCCCTGTAGCACAAAAAAAACCCTACATTTGGCAATCTTTTTACAGTCGACTTCTTTAATAGTTACTCCAACAAAAACTGCCCATGGCGAGGTCTGCCTATTATTCTGAGCAACAGAGATCTAATTTCTTGGAACGACTACAGTAGAATAGATTAAATGTAATTTTAAGATTGCTGTAAGGACCACCCATTAAATTAGGGTTGAATGTGACACTTGGCTGTATAAGGATGTCTTACTAATGAGATTACAGGTATAAGGTTTAGTTTTTCTCCGTAGAGTTGTTAATCGTACCTTTATCTTTTTTTTAAAATCAAAAACATGTGAATTTTGGTTTCCGGTCTCTGAAGTCCCAGTTTCCAGGTGTTTTGGTGAGTTTATGAATCTATGATTGTGGGATTGTCAGGAGATGCTGTAAAATCACTTTCTGGCTGAAGGAAGAATACAGAGAACCTTACAAGGGTAAACAAGCAGAGACATAACAAGAGGGGTGCCAAACAAAATGGTTTTAAGAAAAAGCCACAGGTGAGAAGACATTTGTGTGATAACAGAAACTGCTGTTTCTGAGCTTCAGATGTTATATTTAAATAAAGGGCTGAAATGAATATTGTTTGTATCTATAGCCACCAGGGAAATAAAGCGTGCAACTACTGAGAAACTGACATGAAGATGTCAGTGTTCTATCACTGTTGTGCTGCACACAGATGTTTTAGTTTTCTGAGAGATGGCAAGGCATGTTTCTCAGCTGGCAAAGTGATGTTTCCACCTGGCAGTAGTCTACTAATATGTGACCACCCATTTGTGGAAGATATTAAGTAATATGAAGCTTTTATGAAATTTGTGGCCTTCCAAATCTCATTAAGCCCCCATTTCAGCTGTACTTTTTAAACCTAATACTTCTACAAGCAGAATTATTACATTCTTGGTCCTTTATTCCATTTCTTTTCTTTGCCAGTGCAGATTCCCTCCACTGTTGCAGACCTGAAGTCCACAACAGCCTCACAGATTGAGAGGCAGGGTACACTCTGGACGGGTCACATGGCTAACACAGAGAAAGGCATCCTTTCACGGTCACATTCATAGTTAAAATCTATTTAGAATCGCCAATTAATGTAACATGGATGTCTTTGGATTGCTGGAGGAAGCCAGGGTACCTGGAGAGAACATGCAAACTCCAAACAGAAAAGCCACAGCTGGCTGGTGGGTTTGAAGCAAGTAAGCAAGCAAAAAAAAAAAAAAATGGAGAAAAAAAAAAAAGGGCTTTTTACATAAGAGTGTGTACTTTTTATAAAGTTTCACTTGGTGACCACTTTAATATAACTGTGATAATTAATTAATATCAATTAATATTGATAGTTATCATTTTTTACCTTACAGTCTATTTATATTTTTCCAGGATACCATACAGTGAGTTAACCCTCGTGAAGCAATGGGTTCAAACCCAGGACAGTGCTAATGTAAAAACCAACAAACAAACAAGCAGCAGAATCAAACGGCTCAGATTTCGCCATCTTTTATTTTCAGTTGACTCCTGTTAGTAAAATGACAGATGCATTTCTTCATATGTACATGTGACTTATAAAAATAGTCAGGCAAATGAGAGAAAAAGCCAGAGGAAATGTCGCTTTCATTCATCATTATGTACAATCGATATAGAACATTGCATTTTATTCACGCTATAAACACAAAAACAAACCCATTAGAACAGATGTAGTGCTCAACTCAGGACACTGGTGCACACCTTTTTTTTTTTCCTGTTTTTTCTTTCTGAAACATGAATGACATCAAAGAGAACCACAGATTTGTCATCACAGAAAACAATTTTGGAAAAAGTAAGAAAAAAAAATGGCTCTAGAATTCGCAATTTACAGTTTACAGGTGAAGATTTTTCCGCAATTTTTGTGAATCGCCTGTTTTTAACTTAAATAACTTAAAACAACCAAAATAAATGTGAATCGATTCATACGTTTAACATTAGCAGCATTGCTCTATCAATCAGTACCCCTTATTTTAGTAGACCTTTTCTTTCTTTTTTTGTTTTTACATTATTTTCCCCATTGGACACAAAAAATAATCAGAAATTTTCCATTTCCACCTATACATGAACACATTTTATGGATACAGTTTTAACTGCCTGCCTGTTGGTTTCAGTACATCTTTCATTACAAAAATAGGAGCTTTAGTACAAAAGCTGTTTGGTATGGTGGGTTCACATTAAGCTCTGTAAAATGCAGACTTGTCCACCAGCTTTGCGCTGAACATATCTACAGAACAATTAAATAACCAAATGTGCATGTAGGAGAATCAGTAACACAGAACAAAAATCGAAATAAAATAACAATAAAAAATAAAAAATAAGGGAAGACGTGGCTCAGTGCATTTGACAGGAACTCCTTTTTCTCGCTACCTGGGCAAATCCAAGGATCTGAAAAGCCCTTTGAGCTACACGCCTTTGGGTTTCCTGTCGTCAATAGTAGAATACAGCTTGTCTTCTCAAAAAAAGCACTTAGAAATACTTCTGTCAAAATTAAAATTAAAATGCTCAAGGCAGTGTTTTTGTCCACTGCTCTGGACAAACAAAAAAAATAAATAAAACTAAATGAATATAAATGAACTAATGCAGAGGCTGGTTGAGGCTGTACCTTTAAATTGTTGTGGTTACTCTAGCTTCTATTTAGTTGCTGAGCCAGAAGGGAGAGCGTGGTCCTCCAGGTAGTGAGCCTCAGTTACTATAAATACTCTTGTTTATTAGTTTAGGTGGGCGGGGAGGGGGCGGGGGGTATCTCTGGGAATCACAGTGAAGAGCAGGTCAGTTATCTGTCAGGGCATATTAATACAAATACGCGTACACATGTATCATCGAGCCCCAGGACCGCCAGGACCCTTTCCTTTCCTGACTGCTCCGTGGCTGCTGTGGTGGTGGCTGTGGGCCAGCTGTTTGTGGGGGCTCGGCGTGGAGGTGCCTCCTTTGGTCTGGGGGGAGGAGCTTCTGCTGAGGCTAAAGGCAGGACTGGTACCAGACCGGCCCAGGGAGGTCTGCAGAGGGCTGGATGCAGAGAGGCCCGCTGAAATTAGGGATAGGAATGGATGAGGTTATTTATCATGTTCAAACAGCCAGTTCAGTAGGACATAACTGGCTTGTGTTTGTTTTTTTGCAGTGATACCACAACAAAATACATCGGCCTCAAAAAACCAAAACAAAAAAAAGTCTCGATTAGACATCTCTGGGAGAAGTTCATAACAGTGTCAACTGTGTGGCACTGATTGGAATGTGGAATGATTATGGACTCTAACAATCTTCTCCTTTGTTACTTTCTCTTGGCTTAATGTATCCATAACAGGAACCAGTAAGGTATTCATTCAGTGCATTCATTGTGGCTTGAAAAGAGATGACAAGCTGTAATCTTGTGCATGGGTAGTAGACGTTTAGCTTGCAGGGAAAAGGACAGATTTTAAAACAATACTTTTTAAAAAACTGAGTTACTCTTGAGTTAAGAGTGCTCATTTGAAAATATGGATGTATGAACATGAGAAACAGAACAAGCATGTTTGTTGTGACATCAACAGTCCTTAGGAACATTTGTCCAAGAAATGCATTGACAGGTAAACAAAGCACACATATTCTTTTTGATTTCTGGACAGCCAGTGCCTGTGCATAAAGATCCGTACAATACTTACATACCTTTCGAAACACTGTAGCCATAAGCAGCATAAGCTGCTGCCGAAGCAGCTGCCGCGCCTGCCATCGCTCCTGCCATTGCTGCTGCACTACCTGCAGTTGACTTACGCCCGCGTCCTTTCCCTCCAGTCTTGGCACCGCCTCCAGAGCCTTTAGGCCGCCCACGACTCCGCCCGGACCTGCCTCTGCCTGGACTGATTGTGTCCGAGGCTGAAACACCTGAACACCACAGGCAATAAAAGGAAAAAATAGTAAAAGAAAACTCTTCAGTATTTTACAGTCAGGCGGGAATCAACATCACTGTCAGAGACACTCAGTTTGGTTTGGCCTTGACCCAGTCTTTCAGAGTCTACTGTGGTCATTTCTCTGCAAGATTTAAGCGCAATTGCACATTAATCACGGCTCATCATTACTGTAAGTGCTGGCTCAAGCAAAAAAAGGAACACTCTTCTCATTTTCCATACTGTTTGCACAATCAGAGCCAGAGTGGTGATGTACCTAATCCTCCAGTACCTTGTCTTCTCCCTCTCTGACTCCCCACATCCCACCACTGGTCTGCATTTCTCTACACGTTTCACTCCAAATACTCTGGATTACAACCTCCATATGTGGGGAAAAAGGCCCTACTCTATCACTAACACCAAAGCACACATGAAAACCTTTCATAAAATTCCCCACGCTTCCCCCGACCTTCAGGTCTAAATTTCACTCTTCTTTCCTTTCCCATTTTCAAGTTCACCAGTTGATTCTTGATTCTTTGCTTTCCATCTCATCTTCCAAACCTTTCATTTAAACATCATCTACATCTCTGAAGGAACCAACTTTCTCCCAGCTTGCTGGCTCTGGTTATCACTGCGCATCAATAATCTTGCTGGCAAGCACCTCTTAGCATGGCAGCAAAAATTCCCAACAGGTTTTAACGAAGAAGTATGGATTTAGGAGAGATTATCTTGCCGCAAAAATTCCAAAGTGAAGATAAAAGGAAAAAACATTCACCATGTATCTTGATTTCTGAGTGCGGCCGAGCCAAAATAAAACTGTTATAAATGTAAAACAAGCAAGAAACGAGCTGCATACAGCTTATGAGGTAAAAAGCCACTTGTCTCAATGGACCCCAGCCTATTCAAACACAAGGCGAGATAGCAGAGAGAACATAACAAGCCAGCCTTCTACGTGCAGCGATGACTTTCATGTAAGTCACACTAATTTGCTATTCTAGCAACAGTAGAACAAGATAATAGTCTCATGGAAAGGACAGATTAGGTTTTATTTGGCAACTCCACACTTGGAAGAGATTATATGTACTTAGATTATTTTTAGTTAGGACAAACCATTAGGTTTCTGATAGTGTATGAGATACGTGGCTGGGTGGGCTGGCTGTTTAACACTGCCAAAAATGCATTGGCTAAACAACCAGAGAGCAAGAGAGACCTCTAAAGCCTTTATATAGGAAGAACACAACTTTTAGCACCATTTACATACTTTGGGCTTAAGTGACTGTCTTTAATGCTACATATATGCTACATATTTATTTGGAAACTTTGAACTTTAGCTGCTGATATCACTCACTATACAAACGGATATGTCCTAAATTCAGAGGTGGGGAGTATCAGTAACAAGTCAAATCTGGTCTTGATCTACAGCAAATTTTCCAGGGACACCAACTGCAGAGCAAGTCTATGCAAAGTGCAGAAAAACATAAAGTATACTGCTCTACTCGCTCCATGAACGATGGCTAGACTGAAATTGTTTTCTCACCATTCATATTGTCAGAGACTGATCCAGACACAGAGGCGGGTGAGTTGGTGGCACGAGACTGAGGCGCGGAAGAAAGCGGATCATCCACGATGACGAGCATGTCGCTGCTGCTCTCATCCGCGTCGGCATCAGGAGGTAATGAGCCGGGCTGGAGCTCGCTACTTAAGGAGATCTGTCCATGCATAGGAGTACAAACAGACATACATACAGGCTGCGGGTCAGCACCACAAGGGAACGAGGAACCGGGTAAGTACAGTAAAGGGCAACAAGAGGAACAGTCCGAGGAACAGAGAAGAAAGGAAAGGAAAGGAAAGGAAAGGAAAGGAAAGGAAAGATTCAATGTGCAGGGTATAAAAGTGACAAATGGTTGGGAAAAGGTAAGACGGACAGAAGAGTGGATCGAAAGAAGAGGAAAGCCGGAGAAGAGAATATAGGGGAAGAATTAATAACCCAAAAGAAACAAAAGATAAGAAAAGAAAAGGGGAGGAGGATTAATAGCACAGCATGCAAAGTAAGATGGTGAGTTTGTGGATGCAGGCCAAAGAAGCCTAATGGAGCAGCCACAAGTCATCACATTTAACATAAATCTCATCCCTTTCCCGCCTCATCTATAACCTACACTTTCACAAAAGCATTTCTCTCTCTTTATCGCACACATGCACACACCATCCATCTCTCCTGTTTTTCCTCTGGATCCCTCACCTCGCTGAAAGGACTGGGCATGGCCGAGTCCATCTCGACGCTGATGAACGAGTCGTCTCCATCTGCCGACAAGTTAGAGTTGTCTGCTGAGGGGGCGTGGGAAATGACCAGGTTCACTTCCTTTTTCCTCTTGTTCTCCAGCTCCTCGTTCTTCTTCTGAAAGTTAAAAACAGAAACGAGAACAGGAGAGGGTATTGATGAAATCAATTCTGCTGAAGTAGGGGTGTGAAATTATTTTTTTCCTCTAAAACAGAATGAACCTAACTAGTATATATTAAACCAGTGGTTTAAGCCACTTATTGTTAGAAGGCTTTGCTATGCAGATGATACCCAGCTATATCTATCAATGAAGCCAGATGATACAAAATAACTACTTAAACTGATGATCTCTAAATTCAGATAAAACATAGGCTATTGTACTCTTATTATTATTTCTTATTATTAATTATTAATCTCTGACTCTCTTCCACAGTGGGTCTTTTGTCTTGTCCTATCCCTCCCCTTATCCCAGACCTGTCACAGCAGATGGCTGCCCTTTCCTCAGCTTGGTTTTCCTTCCTGGTTTCTTCCTGTTAAAAGGCGGTTTACCTTCCCACTGTCGCCACTTACATACAGGGGTTAGGTTTTCTCTTATTAACAGAAAGGTCTTTATCGTACATTGTAAAGTACCGTGAGATGACTGTTGTTGTGATTTGGTGCTATATAAATAAACCTGAATTGAGTTGAACTGAATGCGCTGACAGTCAGTTGCATGGCATATACATTTTCTGTTCAGCTCTTGAGTTCAGAGCAAGACAAAACTCAGCAGCCACTGACCAGATTGCCATGAAATCCAGTATGGATATGATCCCCAGAGGAAGATATTTAATGATTTTAGATGAACCTCTGACCTTGCATCTGACCCTACTTTAGTCACTGACTATCTCAAACTAGTGACCTGATTTCTGTACGATTCACCAGCTATGTACTGTATAATATCTCAAAGGAATAAGTCATAATGATTTCAATGTCCCCTCGACCCTTCCTGCAGCTTCACTATCAGGTCAATGTTATATTATGTTAGACAGAAGAGAGTCTATCGTCTAACAGACAGACTACAGTTTTCACTCTTGAGCTGAACACAAAACTTTCTGTAAAAGTTTCTTCCAGGACTCTTGTCTCATTATCTTCCTACCTTACAATTTCTTCCATTCCAACTTTCTCTCTAACATTTCACATGTGTTTCTACTCGAAGTATTCTACATATTCCACTCCACATCCAGGCAGCCACCAACTCAGTTAATCAGTTCCATACCTTCTCAGCATACTTCTCCCTCTTCCTCTTGCGCTCCTTCACCTTGCTGCTCTCCTCTTGCTGCCTCTTCTCCTCTTGCCTTTGGCGCACTACAGAAAGAGACACAATGTTTGTTTTCATATTTTCCTTCCCCTCACAGTGAAACTCTAACATCTGCCCAATCAAAACACTCACATTTCTTCTCCAGCTCGTCATCGTCCAAAAGCAGGCTGACCACCTCTTTGGGTTTGAGCGTGTCTGGCTTGAAGTTGCCTCCAGAGATCACTACCCTTTGGATCTTATTACAGAAGACCATTAAAGCATTAATCACCTCTGTTATTAATATGACCATTATGCACTTGTGTTATTTTGTTGTTGTTGGTTTAAAAAGAATAGAGGATATTTTTGACACACCTCGCTCTTTTCCTTGGCCCGCTGCAGTATCCTCTCCTCGATGGTGCCCTGACAGATGAGGCGATAGACGGTGACCTGTTTGGTCTGACCCAGCCTGTGAGCCCTGTCCATGGCCTGTTGGTCCACTGTGGGGTTCCAGTCACTGTCATAGAAGATAACCTGCACAGGAAAAAATATATATGTCATAATATTTTTCTCTAAAATTAGGATATCCATGTTTACCATATTGTCTAATTTTTTTTTGTGAAGAAAGCCTGAGCGTGAAACAGACACTCCCTTCTCTGCAATTTCGGAGACTAATAACAATGACGTGTTTTCCCAAGTGAACTGCCTTTTAACGTGACAGATGTCCTGTGTTAACAATCGCTTCACGCTCATTGTCATGAAAGCTAATTTCACTCGAACAGGGCTACAGGGAGTTTATAGCGAGACATGTTAATAAACACTGACATTATCATTTTCAGAGGCGTGTTTAGCCCTACTGATTACATACACAATCATGCTCCTTAGTCATTATCCAAACGTATTTATTTATGCTGAAACTGTGTTTCACGACAGAGAATGTGTGCTGCCCTGGATATAGACCTTTAGTAAATGTTAGTGCTATTTAAACTATGATATGGTATCAATAAGGGGCTCACAGTGTCAGCAGCAGTCAGGTTAATGCCAAGCCCTCCGGCCCGTGTGCTCAGCAGAAAGACAAAGATATCCGTTCTGTGGAGGGCAGTGAGAGAGGAGTGGGGGTGGAGGGAATAGAGGAGGGGGACAAAATCAGAAGATATCATTCCCAACTGCAGCTACAGCACAAATATCCACATATCATGCCATTAAATGAAGTTGCAATGTAAGTTAAGAATAAAAATGTCAAGCTTAAGTCCTGTATAGGATGTGAAATGTGCACCAGTAGTGAAAGCCTTGCAACATAAAGCAACTTCAATAAACTCCAATAAACTTCAAACTCTTTTGTCCTCCAAAAAGAGTAATGCTGGCGCCTGAGAGCTATGTACTAATGCAAACCAGAGAATGTGGACTAAACACACCCATATATATTTCGATGTATGGGTGACGTCTTATTTCATGCATGCACAACCACTTGCACTCTAGGTCGTATTTTATCTTTACCCACCGACTCTGGAAGTCAGCCACCATATCCCTGCGCTCAGAAATCTTGGAGGATCCATCGAGGCGCATGTAGGTGTGCTTGCGATAAACCATGTACTCCTGGAAAGATGGGACAAAGACAGTAAAGAAAATAATTACTAATAAATAAATAATGACTCCTCATTTATTCTGGTCTTTCACAGAGCAGAAGGTTGGCTTACTTCCAGTATGGAGGAATATGTAGATATAGAATAACTGATTCTAATTTTCACAACATCTTTTGCTTTATTTTCATAAAACCTATAACTAGAATAACTAGATCTGCATCAAGTTAATAAAAAAAAAAACTTAACTCTAGGATTAGCCAATATTTGGCATTCATAGATCGCTCTCACCACTGATTTCGAAACCAGCAAACCAAAATTATCCAAACTTCAAATCCAAAACTCAAATCTCAAACTGTTCTTCAGCCTCTGCTCTGGGGATCGCAAGCAGCAACTACACACTGAATTTAATAAGCTCTCAAATATGAAATTCTATTCTTTCTCTGAGGAGTGGATAAAGCCTTCAGCCCTACTTGTTAAATTTCAAGGGTCAAGAAATATTCATCTGTGCTGTAAGAATTTCTTTCTGACAGCAATTTTGTGTCCAAAATCCCCAAATCCCACATTTCTTATGTGCATTCGCTGGAGTTGAAACCTCAATCCGAGCCCAGGGAGGCATTGAGAAATCAAGAGCTTGATATTCTATCCCCCCCAAAGTCTGCTAAGCTGCGCTGTGTGCGCCTGTGTGTGTGGGTTTGATGGGAGGAGCTCTGAAGTCAGAGCAACAGCAGTGATGAGGTGACTCGCTGAGCTTCCTTTGAGCGCTGCCCTGAACTCGCGACCTCCTCGATGAAACATGTCAGTCCCCCCTGAACCAGTCACAATAAATGGCCACACATAACAACTTCCCTCACACAGCCATTATCAATGATAACGATGATTTGAAGCTATGTTTTCTATGACCCCCTCCAAATCCCCTTTCACGACACCCGGGGCCCTCAGTCCCGGCAGGGCCTGCCCCCTCATCGCTCTGAGTGTCTGGCTCTGTTCCCAACAGCCCCATCTGCTCTAACCGAACACTACATTAGGGACCATTAGGGCAGCGCTCGCCAAAATGCTGCTAACCTTGTTGAATTGGGCTTTGGTATCTTGCCAGCACAACGCTGCTGTCTTTCTAATCTCCATCTAAATCAGCAGAATCAAAGTTTTAGAAAAGTTACACCTGAGAGATCAAATTCCTCTGCAGCCTTTTTGTGGTTTACACTTGGAGTCCTGGTTAGTTGCAGCATGCTTTGGATTTCTTCCAAGATGCCACACTGAAATATAAATCCCAACAGCTGGCAATTTTCTACAATATTCTGATCCAGTTTGTGCTAACCGTAGGTGAAAGTGTGATATTTCTGCAGTTTTTCACTCATTTTCTAATGTATTCCTTTACAAATGTTATAAATCAAGCACTAAGTCGGGTTGGCCTGACTGGACAAAATGTTTACTTTTTTCATGCAACTATCATTATGAACCACATATCGCCAAAAAAACCAAAAACAAAAACAAAACAAAACAAAACCCCCCAAACCCCTATGTTCCCTGAAGTTCACGACGCATGGGAACACGCAAATTTGTTTTAAGAATGCCCGATACTTTTGTATCCACTCCAATTGCAATTTTGCTGTTTCTTTCAAAGTGGCTCTGGGAACACAGGCTGTTCCCAACTTCCCGTTAAAAATGAGTCCCCACAGTCAAGCAAATGCTGTTAGATTAGTGTGCGTGGTCACAGACTGTTCCTAACCCAACAGCTGTAATAACTGAAAAGAACATGCTGTGGCACGATAATAAAACAGAGTCCACTTCAGAACTGAGCTGGGCTTAAGACTGTTATGTCTGCTGTCAGTGACATGGTACATACAACACCTGCCCAAGACCACAGGAGCAGCAGAACTTCACTGACCTTAACTATTAAACAGTGTTTCCAATTTTAGGCATTAATACAGATGTGTGAAAAAACACTTTGTAAAACATCCTATGGTGTAGTCTATGCACATTTCTTTTTGCATGTGTGGCTGAATCATTCTGCAATTACAAAAATGCTATCTGGCATTGGCTCCTATGCCAGTCTGTCGAGTTTCTCCGTGTTCGGTTTCTCATGGTGACTGCAAAAGCAGATCGTGTTGGCTTTTTTTCCACTTAATAAATGTTTAGCCACAGTTATTTAGCATTAAATTAATGTAACACTGAAGAGAGAGTCTATACACAGATTGAAATAGCAAAGAAAATGAGAATAAATATATAAATGACCACATTTTGTTTCACAGACGCAAAGCATATTGCCACTGAGTGGACAAACCAGTGTGTGCGCGTGTCATTAAATGTCTGGGGAGGGTGTGTGTGGCAGGCTTCTGCAGGCTATATGAAAACTACATCATATCTTTGACAGGTATCAACACAGCAGTATAAATCACACCTTAGCAGAAAGCTCATTGGACCTTTCTATCCCCCTCTAGTACAGCATACTCAACTCTCAGAGTAAGAAGTGAGCGACCAAATTGCATTGAGGAGAATGAAATGCAGGAAAAATGCAATCTCTGGTTCACTACAACAGTTCAGATCATTTTGGCTTCAAAAATAGTTCCACAATATTACAGGAGCCAAATGACTGCAGTAAGTGTCAGCAAGCAAGAACATGGACTTTGATTAGCTACTGCTAAAAAGTCGCATGTATAAGCAGAAAACCAGTTCAGACAAGGACAAGGTGATGAAACCTGCAGAACTATCCATTCATCAAAACCACAGTGTTAACAAACACGGTAACTACAACTCCACTCTCTGGCTTTTCCTTCTGTGTCACAGGCTGTAGAGTTTCTATATTTGCAATCATAGTGTGCAGAAACGTACAAACAAACTGTCATAATATGTTCCACAAAATAATCTATGCAGAAGCCGTGCTTTTCATTGAATAATAGGTCACTGTGTGTCACTCCAACACTCCAAGACAATTTCCCCTCACACCAAACTAGTGATGGCAGCTGGCCGCCCCACCCCGAGCCTGGTTTCTATTAAAAGGACGTTTTTCCTTCCCACTGTCGCCAAGTGCTTGCTCTTAGGGGGTCGTTTGATTGTTGAAAGGTTCTCTGTATTATTATAGGGTGTCTGCTTTACAATATCAAGTGCCTTGATGTGATTGCTGTTGTGATTTGGCACTATATAAATAAAACTAACCTGAATTGAATTGAATAATGAACAAGGCACACCTGAAAGGCAAATTGCATTACTTCATTTACAGACAAAATTCTATTCTGCTTTGGCAGCAGTTCCAAGAGACTGTGGGCATTTCCCCTCATTCCTGCATTTTAAGCTTTGCAGACTTTGCAGTAAAATGATGTCTAAAAAAACTCAGCTTAAATAGGAAGGCAGTGACTCCGTGGTCCCGCTACACTATCAGCTGCTGCCAAAGAAAGCAAACAGTGTTATTTTTCTTTGGGCCACCCGAATCTTAATGATCCATCAACTGACCGCGTGATGTCACCAGAAGAACCGGCAGCCGACTGGTGATGATAACAATGATGATAATGACACAGATCAGCATCAACTTCTCCCGCACTCTCTCTCTTAGTCAGAGACTCACTTTCAGATAATGAACTCCATCTGCAGATTTATTTATTTTTTAACCAAGAACAAAGAAAAAAAAGGAAAAAGAAAAAAAAAACACTGAAGCCAAATTGGGTGAATGTATGATTTCATCCGTGATTGCCTTGAGCCCATTAGCAGAGGAGATGCTGTCATATACAACCTCCCCCTCAACCAACGCCCACCTCCCATTGCATTATGAGGTCACTTATACACAATGACTTCTGTGATACACAGGGCGCTGTAATGTTGTCTCATTAAATCATAGCTAGAGGGAACGACTATAGGTGGGGCAATCAGTGAGAAGAACACTAAAACAGAATGACTAGCCAGCATTATCAAAGCCATCTTGAGCTTTCTCATCACTGCCGTTTTCCAGTGGCCTTTAACACGAGGCATTCTTGCTTCCAGACACACAGGAAGACGGTCCTTAGCCACCTGGGCCAGGTCCATCTACCATCAAAGCATTTGGCTGTGGAACCGGCTCTGCACTGTGTGAATAGGGACAGAATGACATCATGCGAGAGGCTTTTGGCTCCATAGTGATGTTTGCAACAAATATGGAGGCAACAACAGAGTAGTGCACCGAGGCTGTCGACACATAATCACTGTCAGGGCTGTGTTTCAGCATTATATTCCTGTAGGGAGAGCAGTAATGCACTTCGATCTTCATCTTGGATTCCAAACTGACAGCCTCTGACCTTCCAATAAGATTATAACTAACTAAGAAGTTGAAAAGAAAAACATGCATGTGGGTAAAAGTAATACAGGTTCATTTATCAAGCTCAAACCGGGAAAAACGGATTTTGTGATCGTTTATTTGTTCCCACCTTTTCCTCATCCATCTACCTTTGTCTCGGTTTTCATGTTATTTCCTTCTCCTCTAACCCCAAAGACCCTGCCACTCCCATCACCCACTTCCCCTCCACTTCCCCGCTTTCCTTATTTCACCCAGTTATCCCTCCCATCTGGCTGCCTCCCCTGCAGATGAGACCCCTCTAATTAGTCCTGACCTGTTAATTAGCAGTCTAATGAGTGCACCAACGAGGGACAGGCGGGTGGTTTAGAGGTGCTGTAGCGCCACACCCCAACGGTTACACTGCTTGGGTGAAGAGCTTAAACAACTTACTTGGGAACTTGGAATTTATTTATGCGGATATCTAAAAGATTTAACTCACCTTCAGGTTACATATTACTGAATGGAATTCAGGACGTTACTTTTTCTACACTTAGCAATAGTGTGAGGGTAACTTATAAATAGAATAGATATGAATAGAGCGAGCAGAGCTGTAAAGGGGCAAAGGTAATGAAAATGAGGAACAAACTGTTCTATTTATAGATGTATGCCGTGTATGTGTGCTTTTATACCTCAAGCAGGTCTATCATGCGAGTCATCTGAGAGTAGATGAGGACTCTGTGTCCCTGAGCCTTTAGTCGACTCAACAGGATATCCAAGGTGTGGAGCTTTCCACTTTCTGTAATCAGGCTTTCCTTATCTGAAAGAGGGAAAGAAAGTTTTACCACACAAACCACCTGGGTGGCAACACAGCAACTTTTCCATGTTACTCTCAGAAAGTAGATGTGTGATGAAATCACATTAATCACTGAAAATATTTAGTGAGTTGACTCAATAAAATATCTGCTTACTTACAAAGTTAAAAAAACAAACTCCAATCAATTCAGAAGTTAGATAAGACTCTTGAATAACCCTTTTCACCAGAACAGATAGAGCTGGGGGGGGTTGATCCTCCTAGATCTGGCCCTAATTTAGTGACCGTTTAAATAAAGCCTGTGCCCTGATTGACTGTGCTGTTGCTGAGAGCAGAGAGAATTAAGGATACAATGAATAAGAGACAAAGTGAAACTCTGAGGAAAAAGTGATTTACACTCCATTTTAGACAAAAGCACAAAAGGTGAACAAACAGGCCTGGCAGTTGGTCACGTTTCTGTTGATACCACATCAGGTATTCGCTGGCCTTCAAATGATTTACCGACAAGAGCAATGGGAAAGAGGGGGGTGTTCTGACCCTGGGTCTGCTGCTGAAGTGGTTTCCTCGATGTCCAGCTGATGAGGAATTAACGTCATCTGACACAATGGTAGAATAAGGAAAAAGCTGTGCCTGCATTCGACCCTGTGACAGGCACACGATGGTGTTTGACCGAGAGGTCGTGGCCCTGAGTGGGAAGAACCTAAGGCCAGGTCCAGGGTCAGGGGACAGGGTCAGGTCAGGATTAGAAGAGAGTCCCTATGGGAGAGTGAGGCTTGACCGTCTTACATAAGAGGTGGACTCCTGTCCCCCAAGCCCTTTTGTGCGCTGCAAACCTGGGCTTACAAATATTTCCCAGCGTTATTTCTTCACTTTGCTTCGGCCATTAATTCAAAACACATTCTCCAAAAAGCAAAAAACAGACTGGGATACCTTCAAAAAGAATAGCCTCCTGGAACATATTTGAAACATGCAAAAAAAATTGAAATATACACCTGTGTTAAAATGTACCACAGACCCACAATCTCACATAGATCTTTTTTTAAGGAGACCTTTCTATGCTAATTTGTACTTGGACTGAACCCTGACCTGTGACCTTTTAGTATAACCTTCTGAAAAAATGTCAGGCCTGGCAGAGGTGTTAAAGAGGAACTAATAGAACAGATGAATAGGTGAAATGCTCTGGGGAAGTATTGGAGAGCTCACCTACAGGTCACTGTGGAGTGGTGTCAGCCTGTCAAATACATCCAGTCCTGGTCTCACTCACACTCACAACCTACAGCTCCTGGGAATACGCTGGCAAAATTTGTTCTGGATTAAATTCATACATGTCTTTAATTTCGCTTGTTGTATTTTTCTTCTGGACAGCTGAAAAGCTGAAAAAGGTTCATGTTTTCTGAGGCGCGTAGCTTTTTTGTCAAGTATCCTGTATTTTTTTCCATTTGCAGAAAAGAGGATTATGCAAAGGTTTGTGTGTTGACCGGTCAAAAAGTTGGCTTGAACATGAAAGAGCGAGACCACAGTGGAGTTTGCCACGTAGAGGAAGAAGTGCAAAATATCAAAGAATCACGTAGGAGAAACGCAGACAATGGCTGCAGTGAATAGTTTTGTTTTAAACAGTTTCACTCCACTGCTAAGAATTTCATTGTATAACATGACTACCGTCTCCTTTGCAGCTAGAGCAAGCTTAAAGACGATCAACAGCACTTGCATAAATAAGAGTAGCCCACATTACTGGTTTTTCCATGCATGGCGTAGATAGCAACATGTAAATGTGGGTCTGCAAAGCTCTACGTAGCACCTACGCACTACTAACGCAGTATCACGCAAGTACTTTACGCCATCACAATAAACAAAGAAGTTCACCAACAACACCTGGAACCAGCTCAACTGAAAGGAAGGTCTTATAAAGAGACATTTTAAAGAAGGAGACATGGAAAAAAAAATCTATAGGAGACTTCTCTAACAGTCAAACTGGAAAGCATGCGAGTCAACCGTGCTTTTGCTACACCCACAGTTTCAGCTTTGTAGAGGGCGCATCTAGTCATTATAGAAGAAAAGATGTATGTGCACTGCATGTTTTCACAGTTTATCATACAGGCTGAATTAGAATGGTACTTGTTCAGTGCTCTGGTAGAAAGAAGCTGATAGTTACTGCACTGCTGGCTGAGCTGTTAAAAAGCTGTAATGTTATGAAGCTTTGCACATGCATGGTGTGTGTAATGGGTTTAGCTGAACATTTTAAATATACAGCTGTTATGTCCTGATATTAGGTACGCTCTCTCCTTATTCAGACAGAGGCTTCGAAATACCCAAATAGCTGCTTGGGGGCATTACCAAGATGGCTGCCAAAGGGCAAGACTTGCTAGAAAGATTTGGTTAGCAGGATGAGCGTTTTATCTCCTGTCATTATGTAAAATTAAAGGTATAACAGGGGTCTACATTTAGTAAATGACATGCGTTCTTCCACATTAGTATCTTTTCTCATTATATTGTAAATACAAAAGAGAAAACACCTACAATGAATTGAGCTAACTCACAAAATATTGAAAAATTGTGAAATGACATAGGAAATGCTTTAAGGAGGATAATGAATGGCTTAAATAATACACCTATAGCTAAAGGCATTAAAGTACAACTGAAGCAGATTCGATGTGACACTTTATTTACTCTAAAATAGGCAGTTGTGCATTTCTGTGGTTCTATTCGGTTTGTACAAAGAGCCCAGTGCACCGCAAACCATGAGATACACAATGTACCCTTCCGTGAAAGGCCTGTAATTGGCCTTGGCGTCAAGAAAGTGAATGGACTGAGAAAGTAAAAGACAAGAGAGGCCGGCATGCAGCAGATTAGACATGCAGAACAGAAAAAAAATGGTCCAGACAGAGAGGGACAGACGGAGAGGAAAGGGGGTCTGTGGTGGCTCCGGCTACAGCGAAGCTGGATTAGCCTGGTGGTGGTGGCGGTGATGTTGTGGCTGAGATCAGACAGGGCCTCCCGGCCGCAGGTGCCAGTCTAACCAGGGCCGCTGCTCAGTCAAGGGCACTGACTAACACTTGCGGGCCACGCTGCCAACCACCCAGGCGCAAAACCACCACTTGGCAGAGACACAAATACTCATATAAGACAACACTGCTAAACCCCTGCTACTGATCTGTTTCTGTTTAGGAGATTATATTTAAGCCTCCAGACTCCAGTGTCATGTTTTAAGACAGGTTAAAAGCCCCTATCTGAGGATTTTTCTGGCCAAAGAGGACTAAATGTTGCATGTACTTAAACTAAGTCTTGAATGGCATTAACAGGCAATGAGAAAATCCCATATTAAACAGTTGGATACTATTATTCTTGTATACAGAGACGTGTCAGTCACAATAATCCTTTTGTTTATGACTGGATTATGAGGGAGACCATTAATAGGGAAGCTGCTCTGCTCCTTAAGAAAGCAACCTTCTGGTGTTTGATGACACCGGTGACCATGATACAGCATTTGGTAGTTGCTTATCAGCATCACTTGATCATCACCATATTGAATTCTGAGTTGCATTCATACACAGAGAAATTATTAACACAAAGACAATAAAAAAGGAAAGAAAGAAAGGCAAGCAAGAAAACAGGCAGAAAAAAATCGTCCCACAGCAATGTGGCTTATAGAGAGGTTGCCGAGTTCAAGCATTTAGTACTGCATTGAGAAAACCCCAGTTTCATATTGCTGCTATACTCTATAAAAGGGAAGCCAAGAAAATGAATAATTACAATTTGGGAGGACTTTGGTGGTCTGTCTCATTCCAATGTAACACTTATGCTTACATTATAAGCTACATGTGGTGGCAATGAAATGCAGGACCACTGCCCTTAAGCGTGAGCAAACTGGATATAGTAACTACGCATGTACCATGAATTATGGACGGTTTGGAGGAATTTAAATGAAAAGGTCGATACAGCTAAAAAAAACAAACAGTGTGTTGGCTCGAAAGAGTCACTAAAATTCATTGACATAGCAACAGCAATATTATGTAGCTGATTGCAAACAAAGAGATCATGTCCAAATATGTTGTGGTGTGTAGATCAAATTGTGGAGTAAAACTGAAAGCAAAAAAAAAAAAAAAAAGGGGGGGGGGCACAAAACAACTTTAAAATCATGGCCTGACAGGGATGAGGACTGCGATAAGACCACACCCCACAACACGAGCAAATCCCATGTGGTGTCACACCACTCTGCCGTTGCTATGGATACACATATCAAGCTTCACCACCTGCCCTGCCCCCTTTCACAGCACCCCCCTCCTCGCCACCACCACCCGCTTCAATCCAATCCAGTCTAACAGAGGTATTCACCCAGCCAGGCCCTCCCCATCTCCTTCATGCTTACCGCCTGCTGGCAGATTAAGCTGCACTCCCTTGTCCCTCCTCACACCCCCATTCTACTACATCCACTGTAGCACCCTCCAGCAGCCTCTCCATCCTTCCCTCCTCCACTTCTACACTCACCCTCCCACTCCACGATACACACCCTCTCTCGCTCGCCCCTTCCCTCCCCCTGCTGTCTGTCCCCCGACGTTGTAATCCAATCCCTGCAGGGCCAGAGCCAGGGGTCTGACATGGTCCTGACCCAATTAGAGGCCTGCTGCCAGCTAATTAACCCCGGCCCAGCCCTGGTGCCTGGCGCCTGATACTCCCAAACCAACTATGGCGCTAATTTCATTAATACGCCGCTACAATCTTCTATGCTGTCCTCTGTTTCCTTCCCTTCTGCTGCTGTTGTCTGCCAAAGCCAAGTGGGGAGCTGCCCTGAACACGGAGGGAAGTGAGCCAGATGTGATGAAGAACAGCAATTTTGCAGAAAAGGAGTTAGTGAAGGAAGATGGATGAATGGTTATGTGAGAAAGAGAGACAGATGGGAGGCCACAGAACAGGTCGAATCAACGATCGAACCAAGCACCAGCCCCTCACTGTACAATGATACATTACACTGGGCAATCAATAAGTCAATGAGCAACACTTGTTCAGCAGCGCTGATGATGGAAATATTAGCCTGACACTACTTTGCTGCTTCTGCATATATTGACAAAAATCAGAGTGAAACTTAATTTTCTTACAGCGACAGCATCAGTACAGCTAAGAGCCAGATGCCAGTGGGAGGATTTGAAAGCTAGGAAGTGAGAAGCCCGACAGAAAACAGGAGAATTTAGTGAAGATTTACAACCCCCCCAAACAAAGTCTGCCTGCATCCAGAAAGCAGCATCTCTGCTCTGGAGCCTGAAAGAGAGTCATAAAAAAAAAAAAAAAAAAGAACATAAATTCCCTTAAAAGAAAAAAATATGCTTGCACAACTAAGTGTGGCTGAGTCTGAGTGATGGAGGAGCATATATGGAACATGTTCACACATACACCACCGCCTCCCCTCAAACATGCAAGAGGAACGCTTCTTTTGGTTCTCTAGGAGTCGTTAAAGCAGCGGAAGAGACAGACAGTCTGATGAAGACTCCCAAGTTTCGCTGGGGAACCTCACCGCACCACACCACAGCGGCCCACTCTGAACTCTGTCATTAAGACAGATTACTGCTAGTTACCCTTGGCTGGCATTGACTCAGAACTTACCACAGATCAAAGCACAAAGATTACTTGGCTTCCATGTTTAAAGATCCCAGCACAGAAAAATAATGTGGCTAATGTCTCCCCCTTCAGTCTACACTGGATTTTTTTTCTTTTGATTTGCTCTTTCTTGTGGACACATTTATAGCCATAAATTGGACTAGGAAATCACAATCCCTTTACACACTTGGCTGTATGTTTTGTTTTTCATTGCTAGCAAAAAAAAAGAAAAAAGCTGAATTCCACAGACGGACACCGGTGCCAGCTTAATGCAGATTAAAAGGGGCAGAGTCAGACGGTGATGTGGTGAGGCTGGCAGTCTGTGTTGTTTTGTGCCTGTCTATCAGAGGGCCGGGGAAGCTTCCTGCCATTTTGGTGGAGAGCAGAGTTTCTTTGAAGGGACAGGAAGGCAGAACTGCATTTCCCACAGCCTAATGTGAACGGCAGGGCCAGAACTTTACTGATGGATATGGAAGTACGCGCACACAGACTCCTGTGTGCTCTCTAATGCAGCTAAAAAAAAACCAACAACAACCAAAAAACAGCTCCACAACCTGCCAACCATCTCCTTCAGAGATTCCTTCACGGCAGCAACAGTCGTTTAACAGTACACAATAAAGCTAGAAAAAGAGTTAAAGAGTCGGTGCTATAGTGAGAAGCCCGTTATTTTGTGGAGTGGCTGCTTCTAATTAATGCGAGGGAGACAGAGGCCACACAGACAGCAAGGAAAGCTATTTCTGTGGAACTTAAAGTTTCTTTTAAACTTCAAATCTGTCTCCATTTGAATTTTTTTTTTTTTTTAATTGAGTGGTTGCGAGGAGTAGAATTTTCACAAAGCAAACTAAACTAATTTGGCAAGAAAACAAGCCCAGAATTTCTCTGTAACTAGAGTCCAATCTTCTTTTTCTGCCATGTCTCCGTGGAGAAGACAGTGTGGCTGCTTGGGCTTCATTTTTGAGCCGATAATACATGTTGCTTTCTTTCAGAGACATACAGAAGCATCGTGTCATCATCGGTGTTAACATTTTTTACATGTAATTAATTCTCTCTCTTTTTTCTTTCAAGGAAATAATACAATTACAATGACATCAAAACAAATAAACAAACAAACAAAAAATAAATGTACGGTCCAAAATGTTACAGCCCATTGTTTTTTCCTCCTCTATGGCCTGATTCCTAATAAGTCGTCTGATTAGATTCCTCCATCGATATCAGTGGGCAGCTGTACTCACGCCATGGCGCTCAAAACAAACAGTTATTCAGCTCTGCCATTTGTTCTAAAGGTGTGGGGCTGGGAGTGCGGAGGAGACGGAGGGTGGGAAACTTCAGCTGAGCTACTGTACATATCTGAGCCTTGATGTGGCAACAATGTGTTCAGCGGAGGACGGGTGCCTGAGTGTTGGGTCACTTCCTTCCTACTGAGGCTGAGAAAGAAGTGGGAGACCAGACGGACTGAGAGCCCGTGGCCAGATACTGATTTCAGCCCAGCGCACCGTCCTGTCTGTTAGTGAAGGAGAGACAGAGGTAAAAGCTTGTCCCCCTGAGCGTGGGAGAGTGTGTGCGGAGGGCTGAGAGACACCTCGGTCCCCGTGTGAGCACCGCACACGTCCCTGAATGGGCTCGACTGTACATAAACAACACACATATACACACACACACTCACTCGCACACAGGCAGACCATCTATTAGTGTTACCTAACTGAGCACTTGAACAATGACCAGTAGCTAAACTTCCTCGCTTTGTCTGCCTCCGTATAACTTCACAAGAGCTTTCAGGCTGTTCTCACACAGACACACAAATACTTGTTGTGTTTCTCACTTTTACACAGAAACGCTCTCACAAGCACATGTATACACAGGAGCTTAAAAAAAAGGACTAAGCTTTATTATTATTTATCTGACAGGATCTAAAGGACCTATTGTGATTTTTAGAGAAGCTGTTGTTTTACAGTGCACCTCAGAAAGTACTAAAGGTTGTTAAATGAGCGCACTGCAGGCTTATCAAACAAGGTATCCAGTGTCTGCTGCGCTGGGACAATTTGACAAAACAGTCATCATAATCCATAACAGAGTTTATCAGAGACCCCTTCATTAGGTCACTGAGAACGGATGTGCTTTCTGTAAGAAGGTAGCGGCCTCTCTCACCTTAGACATCCATCAGTCATCTGAAGCCTGGTGGTGAATCACCTTTTAGTGTGCTGCAGCTAACCCTTTGCTCAACAAGCCAATCTTTTCTGATAAAGGTCTGCTAAGCCATAAATTCACTTGGACAACCCCCCCCCCAAAACAAAACACAATCTTTCCATTGAATCTCATAATTCAATGGAAATTGCTGGTATGTGTTGTGAACCTCTGCAGAAGCCCTTTATCTCAGCAGTTCCCTGGGAAGTCACTGTGTGACCTACAGGTAGAGATAGTGGAGGGTGATGTTGCTTGCCCTGCCCTCCTGACCCAGGACTAAGATCTATGGATTCTCCCACGGGCCTCTATTTCTCACTATTCTATAAAAGAGGATATCCACTATTTACTGTTATTGGTCACCTCTGTGTGGAGCTAAACTTACCTCATTTATTGCCCTAAACAAGCTCTGTATCTCTCTCCACATAAGCAAACTTTCTTCAGATTAGCTGCCCCTTGAACAGTCATTGCTGTTACATGCTACATCTAATACATCTATTTGTTAGACTGCAAATTGTGGGACATTTACTTATGGGACTTGATAGCCTAGTGTGAAAAGCTGTGCATGAGACCAGGGGGACTAATTTGAATGTTCAGTAGTAACACTCCAAAGTAAAGGAGAAATGGCCCCTCTCACACACACACACACACACACACACACACACACACACACGACTTACCAGGTATCCGTATAAAGGACCATCCATGGCGGGGATAGAGGGCCATCACACCCCCAGGGCATTGTGGGTGAAAGGCATTAGCCCTCACACGCCATTCTGATGCCAGTTCAGGAGAGCCGTACAGGAAACACTGTTTAAAGATCGTGCCTCCTCCGCTGCGTGTCACCTGCCACTCGTATTCAGCACTGCGGTCGTTACAATAGCGCTCCATGGGTACTGCTGTCACCTTGGAAACAAAAGACAGCATTGCATGATGGATAGAAACAACATTTTACGATGGCAAAGCACAAATACTGTACGCTGACATAGGCTCGGTTTTTAAGACTTCTTTTTTTCTTTAACAAACTGATAACTTTGCTCCAGAGAGATTCAAGCTGTAGATGGAGAGATGTCGATGCATGCAGTCCTGGTTTCACTGAATCAGCAACTTCTGCATCTGCGTATGTTTGTGTGTGTAGGGGGAGGAGGAGGTGAGGGGGCAAGAGGAAGCTGAACAACTACTGAATAACCTGAGCAAGAAGCCCTTTTTTGGAGACTCCGTTTGTTTTAAGTGCAGCTGGGAGTCACAGTGTTGACCTCCTGTACCCCAACCACACACAGTCATACAAACATTTCACAGATAAGAGCTTCTCATTGTTAAAAAGCCACAAAAGCATTGTTCACAGCGCTTCCCTCTTCCATTTCCACGACCACCCAAATGCTTAGCTGTTTTAAGCGCGCCAGCACACAACCCCGACTGTCATCACATACAGACAGGCAGGACTTGCAAGTGTGTCCTCCTCAGTCTGTTTGTTGCTCTTATACACATACCCTGGGTGTGGCGGCTAGCAGGAACTTAGGTGGCAGCGTGGGCTGGCAGGATTGGATTGTAAAGGTGCCCAATTTTCTGCAGTGGACCTTCACATCTGTGTGCCCCACCACGCCGGGCCTGGAGGCCGTGAACACCAAATCCTGAAAAGCATATACAGAAATCACCACAATGAATCAATGATTTTGTTTAAGCAGAAAAGAGAGGATCTGCAAACAGAAGTAAACAAAGTAGGATCATACAAAGCTCACAGAGTTCAGTGCTCATCATTTTATAAGCTGTTCTCACATTATATTTAAGTTTATCTGGCTTTTATCCAAAGATATTACATAACATTTCAACTTAAGGCTGAAATTGCTATGTGAAATGTAAGATTACTGCAGCCTACAGTGGGGCAAAAAAGTATTTAGTCAGCCACCGATTGTGCAAGTTCCCCCAC